CGGAGGCAATCATAACGCAGTTCTGATGAGTCGGAAGACATGCGGCGAATATCTCCCGGATGATATCGAGAGGTAGCCGGCGGACAGGCGAAATAAGAGCCTTGTGGCTCTCCACAAGGGCTCCCAGCTCGCTGCGCTCTGCGGCGAGCTTGTCGATGGCCTTTTGAAGTTCCGCAATCTCCTCGTCAAGTCACTTCAGTAGAAGAGAGGGTTCAATAAGGAAGGCTTTGATGTCTAGGATCTCCTCATCCTCAGGACAGTAGTTTGTGCCCAGCCGGGCAGCGAACGGGGCTAACGGCTCGGACGTGTCAAAGGAGAGCGACATAACGATCACGTGCATCTAATTAAGAGCATCGCGTAAAAATTTTAATTTAATTAAAATCACGAGTCTCAAGTGACAAGTGGAACCGCCGTATCTTTACCAACTTCACCGCTGAGTCTGATAACCGTTCAGTCGGGATTCGAGGTGGACTGCCGCCCACGTTTCAAAACTCCGGCTCATCGGCCCGATGCACGTGAAGCTGTTTCATCTGAAGCCGAATGACCCAATGAGTCAATAGACTTGTCATCGCCTCAGACCTCCGCTTCTCCAGCGCTCCCAGCACTCGTTCGTTCTGAATCGCTAGTATGCTCACTGTAACCTTTGTGAGCTCGGTTCATCGATCTTAAATTCATGCCACCGAATGCCAGTGAGCGCTAGATCAGACACGGACAGTCAGAGGACAATGTTGTACGACTCCTTCTGTCCCAGACATGTATATCATTGATTCATACGATCCAGAAAAGCATCTGGGCGGGCTGGAAGGATGCACCTCTGTCGGAACTCGGTGAATACACCCAATCTACTGCCTTTCACTCTTGCTTACATTCATAGGCGTCAAGGCAAGTAACTGCACTATAAAGCGACGTGGTAAGTTGTAACCATTCTTTCAGCAAGCAGCAGCGTTAGGCCAGGCATTCCTCAAGTCGGACACCAAGTTTGATTTCATTTACGCATCTGATCTTCTCCGCGCGGACGCCACTGGCAAGGCCGTCCTTAAATACCACGCATCGCCCAAACCACCGTTCACATCTGACAAGCGACTTCGGGAGCAACACTTTGGCATCGCTGAGGGACAACCTTGGGTGATAGAAACCCCGCGAGGCCATAGTTTGGCGAAGTTGTACGAGCAAGGAATCTTCCCAGTTCTTAGGAGCCGAGATGCCAAGTTTCCTGAAGGAGAGTCTCTTAATGACCTGGCCCTTCGAGCAGAGAAAGCTATAGCCGACTGTGTAGTCCCCCATCTGTCAACCAAAGGCGACGTTCACATCGCTATAGCGAGCCATGGCCTTTGCATCAGTGAACTTGTCGCCGCGCTGCTACGTCTGGACCCCGATTCTCGCCGAGATATCTCGTACGCTGGTCTTCTGAACACGGCATGGACGCGCGCCGTTGTTACAGTGAAAGTACACAAGAGACCATTTTTTAATTACCTGCTGCCCTCTCACCAAATTAAATAGGACGCGTCGTTCACAGGTCCTCTTGATGTTGACCACCTTCCGCCTCTAAATGTTAAAGTCACGGACGTGAATAACGATGATCATCTTGCTTCCCTTGAAGATGTGCGTCCCATGTACCAGCAAAAACGTCACTGACCTCCTTTGGTGTAGGAAATCGAAGACCCCGCAGCTGTAGATGATGACAAGGCAGCTGCACGGGCATTTTTCGCTGGGAAGGTTTCGGTCTAGAGTTTGCAATAGATATTAGATCAAAGTAAGAGCGCGTACTTGAAATTATTGACTAGATTCAGGTTTGAACATCACAACATGTTGAACGCGGCATCGCAAGACCTCCGCTACTTTAGTTTGATCTCCGAGGCTGTTTCTGAAGAACCACATATCAGGCCCATGTGGACGCTGCAAGCCTGCATTGTTCGGTCGCGTCGCCGACATCCCCAAGCATATGTGCTTGCATGTCCGATCCGTACGCTGACGGATTTGGTCCGAAAATGCCTTGTATGTACGATCACAATGCCAAAATTTTACCTTATGTCCGATCCAAAGTGGGTCCGGAAGTCATTGGTTCAGCGCGATGTCCGATCTATGTGCATCAGTTTAAACCAAGTTCGAACCCTCAAACCGGCTCTCCGAAGCTGCCAGGGCATGCACCCGAAAAACTCACCCAAAATCAATATTTCACCAAATTTCACCACGATTTCACCCCGAAAAAGGTGTCTCGTGTCTGAATGTTCGATCCATTTCGCTGACGGGACACACTCAAAGACGACTTACCTACAATGCGGACAGATTTCGAGAGAAAACCGATGTATAGAACAGGCCAAAATTAGGCCAAATGGGCATACAAGCGCATCTATCGAAGTCTTCTTATCCGATCTCCTCCCCAAGCGAGCGGTCGATCGGTTGGGGGCTTTGAGGGACGCAGAATCGCTTAAGGCACTTCCTTCCTTCCCACGACTCGACACGACCTTGAAAACTCCCTCTAACTCATGGTGCGCCCGATCTCGTTGTTTGGGCGACATCTCGACGTCGATGTTAGTCTTTCCTCTGCTTTCTTGGTGGTGGTTGGTTTCTACGCTCTGCGTCGCGCTCTCACAGTCCTGCGAATGTTTGGAGTGAGTTGATTTAAACATGCTCTCCCCCTCAGCTTGAACAACAAAGCGTATAGACACCCACCTTCTTCCCTAGGGTTATTACCGCATTCCAGCCATTCGCCTTGCCGGGTCTCTTGATCCCAACAACGTCCTGGACTACAGGTGTCCGCTGGCATTGGATACGGCGTTTCCAGTGTAAGCCATAACCTATCACGTCGCATGGTTCAACGCCCACATTTGTTTCCAGCATACACAGAGAGTGAAACTATCAATCTCGTCCCCATTATTTCGGGAATTCCGGGGCTCTGGACCTCGAACATTGACATTGCACGTCAAGTAATAGCTGGTTCTCATAAAACCAGCTTTTATAGGCCTAAGTGGGCTAGCCAAATATTTCTGTGAGTCCGAGCGAATCGAATTCGGGTTTTTCAGCCCACATTTGCATTCCAGCGATTGGGGTATGAATCTGCTTGCAGCGGATGGACAAGTGTGGAGGAAGCACAGACGGGTTGTCGGCCCAGCGTTTGGCCATGAACTGTCAGTATCACTGTATCAGTCATTTTCGCAATCGATTCGGAGTTGATCCACACATGTCAGGTATAAATTGGTTTGGAAGAAGACCGCTCACACCTATTACGATATGATTGAAGCTGAGGGATGGAACACGAAAGACGTTGTGGATGTCCCAGTCATCCAGAAGTTAACACTCAAGGTGCCGATTGTTGTGTTCTTTGTAGTATCAACCAAGTCCAGTTGGCTATCGTCCACAGGTCGCCTTCCTCGTCATCAGCTCCTGCGGTTTTGGCTTCGAGTCCACTTGGTTTGACATTCCAGCCTCCTTTCAAAAATTTACCGATCGATCCGTTATTTATTTAGGGCCACTCCTGCACAATCCAAAGATGGCGAAATGCCCGTCCAGGAGGCGCTGAGTATAGTAGCAGAGACGAATTTGCTCATGATTACTGTCCCAGAGTGGGTTTTGCATTTACCGATTGCGTGGTAGGAATAAATAAATCACTAATGCAGTGGCATTCAATTTATTTCGTCTTTTCTTAGGTTTCAAACAGCACGGATGGCGCGCGACAGACTTTCGGCATTTATGCAAGAACAAGTCGCTGAACGGAAGGCGGATGCTGCGGCCGGCAATACCCGTCCTGACGCATTCACTATGCTCGTTAAAGCGAACCAAGATGAATCTAGCAAGTACCAGCTTGATGATCAGGAGCTGGTACGTTCCTCTCTCTTGAAGTTGAACTTTACTAGGTCATGATAATGTGATTCCAGATCGGCAACGTCTTCTTGTTCATGTTTGCGGGTCATGGTATGCGAATTGCTCACGTCATGTTGAATTTTGTTGACCAAATTCTATCCCAGAAACAACGGGACACACTCTTGCTGGAACGCTCGGATTTATGGCAATCCACGATGAGATTCAAGACGAAGTTGTGGAACAAATAATGTCCGTGGTCGGCACTGAACGCGACCCTGTAAGAGTTTATCTCACAGAAACTGCCTCAACTCATTCCATATAGGAATTTGAAGACTGCTCAAAACTGGACAAAGTTCTCGCTATATTTTACGAATCTGCACGCATGTTCCGTGAGTGCTTGACATGGCGAGAGGTATTTGCTCATCTTAATCCGATAGCTGCTGGTCACGTCCTCATCCGGGAAGCAATGAAGGACACCATCTTGACGGTCCCGAATCCGGTAGGCGAGGAGGGTAGCAAGACCGTTCCTATTCCGAAGGGTACTCAAGTAGGATCCCTCTATTCTTCGGTGTGCACGCGCTAACGTTGGTATGCATTAGATTATGGTGGACATGATCGGCGCCCGTACGTTGCTTCCTAAACCAGTGTGACTTGACTGTAATAGACACCATTTTTTTTACCAGAATATAACCCCCGCTATTTTGAGAACCCAGAGGTGTACAGGCCATCGAGATGGTACGGTCTTCCAAGTGATTCAGAATTGTTCACTGCGTTCAGTGTCGGTGAGTGGTTATTCTGTGACCTGACCTAGCATAAACCTTGAGCTGCTCCTCGAATAGGTCCACGTGCGTGTATCGGCCGGAGATTTGCAACCTTCGAGGCGACCTGCTTTTTGTCGCTTTTGTTACGCGACTGGAAAGTGATCCCCGTCCTTCGCGACGGGGAGAGCAAGGAGGCATGGGGTGCGCGGGTGATGGACGCGAAGATAGAGGTGACCCTCGGCGTACACGATGTTCCGCTCAGGTTTGAGAAGCGGACTCTTGCTTGATATTGAATTTTTTTTATTTTCTCTCAGAATGATACATAGTTTAGAAAACGGCGAAATACAAAGGCGCGGCTCCTTAATACTTGAACTATCGACAGAACCAAATGGTGCCGAAAAAGATTAACGCAAGAAGCAAAAAGCAAAAAGCAAAAGATGATTGGAGTGGGATTCGAACCCACGCCCTTTCGGACCAGATTACTGCAAGTGAATGCCAGTAAGTTGAGCTTCATAGAAGCTGATCCTTAGTCTGGCGCCTTAGACCGCTCGGCCATCCAACCATGATCTGGGTCTGGAGAATCGAACAATCATCTCGACACCGACGTAACATTTTTGGTCTCAACACCGATCCGCTCAACGAATGACCCATGCCGCTCGACCATCAACTTCTCTTGCCATAATACATTTTCCACTGATGGATCCCGTCGGCCAAATATCAATAACACTGCCCAGAACTCTCATGGTATACGACCCACATCGTCTCACGCTGAACAGTACAGGAGGATGTGAATGCCCCGCATCGTCATGCCAGCGCAGTACATGTGGCAAGGGAACGAGCACAATGCTTCTGTATGCTTCGTGAAGTGAGTAAGGTTCCTTTTTTGGCATTTGCCCCTTTGTTTCACTCTGGCATTACCAGGGCGAAATACAAGCGAATTAGCTGCCTTTTTGTTAAACGGTAACATTTCGGTTTGCTTCTCTCATGCCTCCGTATGAATGGTTTGAACTCAAAGTCTCTGGTGAATTGTGGACATGTAGGTACTTGAAGCAGCTTCTCGTTTAAATGCGGGCTTCCATGCGGTCGGACAACAGGACGTGCTTGGTTGATCTCGACGTATTCACATTCTTCGAGTACCTATTAATCTATAAGCTGGCGACATGGATCAATAGGATCAATTATCTACGATCACCGTCTCAAAGTGAACACAAGGAAGGATCATACTTTGCTCAGAATACTTTCGCTAGCTGTTGTTTCAACAAGTTATTCGACACTGTGACTCAAAATTATCATTCCGGATCAGCTGCTTCCTTTGGTTATGTACAAACCATATGAGGCTAAATGGCTGCACCAGCCTGACCGCCCAAGTTGAACTCTCGCTGCTCAGTTACTGGTGGTACCTGCAAAGAAAATTGCCTCATGGTTGATCGAGCCATCACGTCTGCTGCCCGCCCTTGCCATTGCTCGGAACATGGACGTGCCCTGTATGGCTCTTTTTGAAATTCACCAACCTCGGCGGTTTACCGTCTGCGCGGTCTAGCAAGACTCAGTCGAGCATTGGGGATAGTTACACCTGCTCATCAATGTTATGGGTTGGTTTGGGCCATAGGACCGGTGTCACTGTTGCGGCAGAATCACAATGTACAATTCACATTTGATGTCAGTCTTGGGGAAGATAACTGCGTCAGAATATGTGATCCAACGAGCCCGATGTGAATTTGTGAGATTGGGGGAGGGCTCGAGACATCGGTCCGCATTTGGTCGGATTGTGAACACAGACTCAGCGCTTACTTTGCCCTCTCCTTTGTTCTTGCATTCCTCCCCTTTGCCTCTCCTTCACTCCCTTAGTTTTCTTTGCTCTGCATTCCAATGCCAAAAAGAACTGTGGATGATCTCAGCTACATTCCTCATTCATGCAGAGACTGACGTGATCATTTCTGATGCAGGCCCAAGCTAACACGACTTCGGTATGCATGGTCAGAACATTTCTGAAGGCTGTATCGAGTCTGCCCGCAGGAGAGACCCTGGAACACGCCAAAATTAGACACACGGCGCTTCGACGAAATTGTGGGTTTTCCTCTTTTTGTCTTGATCATGTATTCACCTTTTTCCTTTTTCTTTTTCCAAGATTGATTTGTGCTCGAGTGAAGATGAGGACCCTTTACATCCCCAGCTCAAAGCAAGCGGAGGCGGAGGCGGAGGAAGCAAGAGCGCCGAGGTAATTATTCATGTTTCCAATTTTGGTGCAATTATTAGTGCTCAACTCTTGTTTCCAGATAGACCTCATTTCGGACGATGATGCGACAAGAATCAAAAAAACTAAGAAGGCAGATGCAGAGAGCATTGTGGCGGAACTTGTTCGTTTTTCCTTTTGTTCTTGGTGTGAAATCACGTTCAATTTTTGCTTTTCCAAGATTGATTTATGTTCGGACGACAACGAGAGCCCACAGAAGAATGTGAAGATCCCAAACAAAGAAGTTTGTCTTGTCTCTTGGTGTGATATCGCACTGACTGTTTTTCCCCAAGATCAATATATCCAACGGTAATAAACAAGTACGCCATTTGAAAGCACGATGAGGTGGAACCAAGAAGAAGAGTGTCGAGTCAAGTGTTCGTGTTTCAATTTTTGGTGCTATTATTTGCACTCACCTTGGTTCCAGATTGACCTCTTCTCTAGCAAAGATGAAGAAAGACAGATTTCTAGCAAGAAAGCAGTTGTTCATGCTTACCCTTTCCTCTTGGATATCGCTCCCAATCTTTTTTTTCAAGGTTGACCTGTCCTCGAACGGCGACAAAAATAATCACGAGGCGGCACAGACAAAGTTCAAGTTTCTGGAGGGCTCAACAGCGAACAGAGCTGGTGCACTCTGGGCGGAAACAGCAACCAATCTCTTCTCCTGGCAGACTGATTCGCAACAGGCTGTCTCTACAGGTCTGTCATTGACAGATCAACTCTATCAGGTGCATTTAGTCAGCTCCTTGCATCAACATATTGTTCCATCCCCACCCCATTCAGCTGTCTTCAACCGACTCTCGGTAAACTTCCAGACCCTTTTACTCCATGTCGTCCAAGGCAAATACACCGATGCCATTAAAGATGGGATTACAAAAGGAATTCTTGCTGAGAGCGGCCACGGAGACAAAAGAACCCAAGGCGGACAAATTATCTATGTGCAAGTTGGCAGATCAAAGAACACGTCGCTTAAATGCGCACCGGCCGCCTGCATTTGTCGGTATATCGAAGCATACCCTGCAGATCTGGTCTGGGGCATTGTCGAGCTCATCTAGCAGGGTGAGAGTGCGGAAGACACCAAAGACCTTGTCCACCAGATTCTCGTGAACGCCGGGCTGGATCCAGAGATAACTGTTCCTCTTCTCCAAATTGTCCACAATATCCAGCCTTCGACACAAATTGATGGACCTCATTTGTATTTTGGCATTTTGGATATCTACACCGCCCACAAGCATTTGCAGCAGGACCTTGACAGGAAGGGTACTCGGTTCTGCAACTTTACACACGCAAACAAGAAGTTTGTCAGCTTCAAGGCATACAGTATGTCTGAATTCGAAGTCCCATTGTCGACTGGCCTTCGCACGGACCGCAACGCGGGTCAAGTTGAAGTCGCTGTTATCCAAACACTGAGTGGGCTCGGGCTTGACCACGCCGTCGATGGCTATATACCGTATTTCACCACAAACTCAGCATTTACAATGCTCACTTCGGGCTTGTTGCCTTCCACTACTCCACTCTTCGGCACAATGCCATGCCCAGTATCAACTTCCTTCATCACGGCTCATCTCGAAGACCAAAAACGCTACCTAATCAACCATGTCGTTGGGGATAGCATCTCCCAAACCTCTTTTGTTCGTATTCTCCACAACGGGCCTGGAGTCTTCCAGACAAATGGGCACTATATCCCCAGCCTCTGGCTTATGGAAATAATTAGTTTGGAAGACCACTCATTGAAACGAGGGCAGGAAAAGATTGGCGGCATTTGGGACGTCAATGCTGGGCACGCGCTCAAAACATTCCACCACCTCGTGGCTGCTATCTACCCTGAAATACTGGTTGATAGGGATTTGACTGAGGACGCCATCTCTTGATATCTCGGGCCTTCCCTCGATCTTTGCCTGTCACTCCCAAGTGCTGGTTGTTCTGGTCCCATTGCATGTGGATGAGTTGTACGCTGGTGAAGACAGGGGTAATTGTTATAACCACCTGGTCAGAAGCTGTAGACAGTGCGATGTCCGGCGGCTATCTCACTCTCGTCTGGACGGGAATCCCATCCGACGTACGCACCCAAGTTTTCGACGGGGTAACACCCAACAACATAGAAAAGTTTTTACCTGTGACTTTGTCTCGAGAGTGGGTTCCACACTGATCTGAACATGATCAATACATGAAAAACATCGGACAACTGCATATCATCTAACATGGCCCCAATTCCACTGATTTGCTCTTAACTGTGGCGAACCTCCATCCTGGAGCGATCAAGCCCGATGCTGACAAGGCATACATCGCCTTCAATATCATCCTGTGCACAGAACTCATCTACCAAACAGCGCTTGCCAAGGTCGAAATCTTGCGACAGGAGGGGATGGTTCCAGCAAGAACATTGGAGGACGAGACATGGCGTTATTTTGAGACACTAAAGGCACGTGTCGAAGGAAAGATTGGTGCTTCAGGACTTCAAGAGAAGCTTGAGCAAGCAAACACCGAGTACAATACCCGCTCCTGGATCCACGACCATTTGCGCTGTAGGGAGGCAACCACCAAGCCCCGGAAGCCGCGTCGGCCTGACTTCACCATCCCAGGTGTAACACATACCGTGGGAAGGCCTGGAACGCCCAAACATATCACCCAATTTGATACCTTGAAAGCGCAATGGAGGAAACGGACGCGCAGCGGCGTCAACAGCGACCCCTTCCACCTGATCCCTTATGAGTACAAAGACGACCCCTTTGATGCCGACATGCGGGAAGCAAGACCGCCAGATTTCAAACTCAGTCTGCACGTCAGGCAGCAATCCAGAATTGCATGCTCGAGCGATGGAGAGCCACACTGCCCTCTCGCATAACAAAGAGGCACTCTCGCTTGTTGGGCACATGACCACAGCCCTGCCCCTTGAGCGGAAATGTGTGAGAGAGGACGTCCGACAAATGGTTCTTACTTGTATCAAGCAGCTGGGAGAATGGAGGAAATGCACCGGGGGCGTGCAGCCAAATACGGGCAGCTGCTTAGCCAAAGCTTGGAGATGGGGGACGTGTTCCTTATGTTCCAAAATCCTCGTTGCCAACTCGGAAAACTTGAAGCACGCGTGTGCCGAAGATGAAGAAGGTGAGCACATTTGGGATAGCCGATTTCCTTCCCTCCAACCCCTCCATTACCTGCACAACATCCTGAATACCCCGGAGTTGGTGGAAATTCTGCACATACAGATCGAAGACCTCGGCCTCATCTCGCTGTCAGTTCAGGTCATTCTCACCTGACCAGAAAACCTCGAACTCCGACAAAGGGAGTTGCTGGGTCTGGATCTCGCGGAGGTGGCTGGTTTGAACGTC